AAAGAAAATCATGTACAAGAAACATGAAGTAGAAAACTACATCATGAAAACCGTAAAATTCAAAAGTATACAAGAAAAACTATGGAAGTAAAGCCGTCAAGGTTAAAACCATAGAAACAAAGCTGTCCACTTTCGAATTATCGAAGGAAAATCCTGAAATAAAACCGTCAGTTTGAGAACTGTGAAATTAAAACCATGAAAAAATATCGTAAACCTCAAAACTGCGACTATCTTGAAATTGTTCTGATGTCAGCAGTCTTGGAAGGTAGAGGAATAGGGTATAGTGAATATCTTCCCCTAAAATGCTAATCATAAGTTTCTAGACGTTTGTCATAGAGTACACTCGATGGTATCATATGATATCTGTGCACACCTAGCATTTCTCTTTTATATCTCAGATGCATCTACGATAGCGAGGACCATGAACAACCAAAACCGTGAAAAGAAATCATGCTAATCTGACTGCGAGAAACCGCTTATGTAAACAGTCATGAGTTTTACGTTTTGTTTTTCTCCGTGCAGATATTCAACTTCTAATAAATTAACTAATTAATTCAAATAAGATGGAAATAAATTCAAACAAAGTAAAGCACCATCATAATAGGAATTTTCGTCATATAATATTATTTCAACCACAACTGTCTATTTTATTAGATACGCTGAATTATATCGATGACCATCTCATAAAATTCAGTATTCACATAGATCCACGTGAAATATGGTTCTTTGTTATAATAACCATTTTCGTTTATTTGTTTTGCAATTTTAGTGAGTCATCGAAATTATTGATGTGAATGAAATACGTTTTGGCTAAGTGAGCAGTGGTTATGTGCTCACGTAAAGCAAGAAGGATGAAATTTGACATGTTTCGTTTCTACCATATACTTCTACTGCGATTTATTAGAAAATACCATTATTAAATTTAGAACGATATTACTTGAATTTTCCATTTTAAGACTGAGACTAAGACTGAGACTGATTTATTCACGAAAAGTGCCCTGACTATTAAATTAATTCTATATATACGTTATGCTCTTCCGACGATCGGTAAGTTAATTACAAATCTTGAACTGTGGAGCGTTAGAACCACATATTTCTTAAATTCATGGTCGACCAGGATAATCAAGATGATCTTCAGTATGAGGAATCTCGCTCTTCGTTAATTGATCAATTAAGAGCCATTTAGTTAACATATATCAAAAGCAAATACAAGTTGCAAAATGTTTGAATAGTGTAAAAATGAAGCGTAAAGTTGCATTGATTATGGAAACGTGCTCTCAACAATGTTTCGGACGTACCTCGTCAAACTCTGTCAAATGAGTAATATAACGAAAACAGAATAACAACAACACGGTAAATGCATGGCATTCTCATACCGAGTTCACTATCCAATTCGATAATGATGTTACGGTAAAGTATGGCAGAAAACTTTTCCCATGACATTACCATATACTTCTACTGCGATTTATTGTGACAGTATATTTGGTTGTGAAGAATAGCAACTGAAATCAAACACTTTTCATTTAATTTGGATTGGTCAATGTCTTTCCTGATACTGTGGAAGAAGCCTCTTTCCTTTTTTGCTCGTCAACTGTTGGTTGCTAACGACAAGTCCAATACATCTGAGAACAATGCGGACCGTTACAAGTGAAATATTAGAAACACAATACGTATCGGTGTTTAGCCTTGTCCGTACAGCTTACGAAATAAAAAGTTTTGCAAACTGTTCCTTTTTATCGTTTTTCTCGCCAATGGATAATCTACCAAGTGAGATAACTGAAACAGCTTCGATTCACGATCCACTCGCCTCACAGTTGATTCGTGATTGTATTCAATTAGCTGTCGATGGTTTTCTATTTCAACACATTACGCCTGATGATCATTATCATCGATTTAAACAAAATTTTCCATCAGCAGAGAAGTTGCTTGACAGATTCAAACAGTCGACGTCACAACAATATTCTTCTTCTTATCGTACACCTCTTCGAAATCAAAATCAAGTAAATAATACATCATCGAGTTATAATGTATCGTTTCAACAGACACCTGATAATATCAGTAACCAGCAACATATTCCACCTTTGGATCTATCATCATTAAATCCGTTAGAACTAGTTACAGGAGATAATGGACAACATCAAAATATTAGCGGTAGCGGATTGACTATTAAAACAAAAAAAACTGTTTATAGTCCAAAAGAAGTAAGTTTAAAAAATTAGACTTCTTTTTTCGAAACATATTAAAAGTGTGAGCTATTGCATTGTGTTGTTTTACCAATGAAAATATTTGGAAAAGTCCTAGTTTGGAAAAGGTAAAGAGATTATTGCAAAATAGAATCAGAGTACTCTGACAGAGATTGTATTTTCCCCGTGTTTTTCATTCTTTTCATCTATCCTTATCTTAAATAAATTTTGTGTTTATTTTTAGTCTCAATCTTTGTCAAGTTCAACAAATCGTCGTCGTAGTGCAACAACAAAATCTACGACTACTCCACCATATGATCAACCTCAGAAACAACAGACTCACCAACGTCCACAATCAGTTCAAGAGTCTTCATCTTCTTCATCTACCATTCTTGCTCAGCATCCACATCTACATGCTCATTCTCGTTTACAACCAACACCTCTGTTTACACCGTCTCCATCTGATCAACGTTTAATTATAAATCCAGCTGGTATTGATGATATAAATTCAAATTTAGAAATAGAAGCACGAGATATTCAAGAACGAATGTATGCACATCGAAATAAACGTTCACGTCCACACGATCTACAATTGATGTCAATAAAAGAAATTTTAGATGAAAAATCAGATATGCAACAAGAATTATTAAAATTTGAAAATAAATATTCAAAACCAAAAACATCGGAACAAAAACGTATTATGAAACCGTTGTACGATTATTATAGTCAATTGAAACGACGAGTAGAAAAACATCATGCACAATTACAACAACAAAAAATTACCAAACATTAGTTTTATCTTTTTGTATATATTTTGTTTGTTTGTTTGTTTGTGTGTGTGTGTGTGTTGTTGTACTTCTTTTTTATTTTTTTTGTGTGTGTGTTTGTGTGTACATATAATCGACATTTTGCATATTTGGAACAAAAACAAACATATTTCTATTTGACATATACATGTTTATTTGACTTCAATGATTGAACCTGGTTTTAATAAAACTATTATTTTGTACAAAAAATATTATTATGTACAGAATCTTTTTTCTCATGTCATATTTCTTTGACAAATCTAAAAGCCAGTCAGATTTCTCAGTTTTGAGCTAAGTAATTGGAACTCATTACTTCACACTTCTCTATGAGGAGACAGCTCTTATTGTTTAACTTTGTAACCTGTTGATTCTAAAATATGAATTTTTGTCTGTATTTTTTAGATACTTTAATTTAACGATATAATGTCAACCGATCTATCTGAATTTAATCAGTTAACATTGAAAGACACTTCTCATCATTATTCAAAATATAAATTAAAAACACCATTATTAACAGAAAATCAAATTGAACGACGTCATCGTTTATTACTTGAACAAAAACATCGACGAGATGAAAAATTTTTACAAGTACGTGATTTGTTGGTTGTCGATGAATTATCTTCAATGGATAGTGAAAATAGCAGTAATAATAAAATATTAAAAAAACATTTTCCACCTCGTCGTTCTAGAAATCACATACATCGTGTCGCATGTCCAATTGGTTTAATGTTAGCGGAATGGTTATTAGATGTGCCTGATGATTTATTTACATCAAAATGGTATCTTCTCTCATGTCCTCGAGGTCAACGATGTTTAGTTGTTACATATTGTGGACAAACGTATGTATTTAATAAAAATGGACATTTTATTTGTAAACATTCTTCGGCATTACCAGGTGGTTCAAAACAAAGTCAACATCAAGCATTAACAATATTATGTTGCATTTACAATAGTAAAACAGAAGTATATTATATTTTGGATTTATTAATTTGGAATTCAGTACAGTATATACATTCTGAATGTCAATGTCGATTTTTTATTCTTAAATCACAATATGAAGAAAATAAGCAACAATTAACCACCGTAGATGACATTAACAATCCATATGCATTTCAGGTAAATTCTAATCAGTTTATGAATGAATTTTAGTGGAATATTAAGAGTATCGGAAATTCAAAAATCAGAATCAGAAAAATAATAGTTTGAGAATTTTAAAATAATAATAAAGTTGAGAAACTGACTGATTTTTTCAAAATTAAACAATTTCCATTCTGTTATAGTTAAGATTGAGTAAAACAACGACGACATCATCAACATTCGTCCGTAGAAGATGCCTGTATCATTCTCATTTTAGCTTATCTTGATCTACTATTGATTATTATCGACACAAAAAAAACAGCTTCCCTGGCTATTTTTTGAATAACTTCTGATAACAAAGCGAAAGCGATCTGCGGCTTTCAGATTCTAAAAATAGACACTTTCTCACAACTTTCACTAAGTAAAAACTAGTCCTGTTTTCCGACAATATTTGGAAAACAACGTTGTAGTTTCCGAATTAAAATAGCAACCTATCGATTTTTTTTTCCTATCGATAGATAAGTAGTCTGAAGTGTCTTCTTTAAATCTAGATCTAAGCAAACTCCGGATTTCCCTCAGTTTTCCAAAGAGGCTAAGTTTTTCCGAACAAGCGATATCCTTAGTTTTTGCGGTTTGAAGATCCCAAAATAGGTCGAAATATA